CAGCCTCAACAATTCGCAAGATCGCGAGCGCAAGCTTTGTTTGAATATTCTTGTTGCGAAAACATGTTTTAAATGTTTTCCGGGCGCTCGATTTTGAAATCCTTACGCAACCTAGTTATTTAAGGATTTAGGCATGTGTTCGCGACGACACGCGCGTGCGCACTTCGTCTTCTATTTTGCAGGGGGCTTTGAAAACTTGAAATCTTTGATACACGAGTGCGCATGCACAGTATTTCTTGCAGAGGATGAGGGGCATGTGCTCGTAGATGGGATGGTACGAGTTCATAGCTAGGATGGACGATAGGGCAGAAACAAATGTACATTGCAATGCGAAGCGGGGACGATTTAATTTCTTGTGTATATATACATATATATATATGTTTTATTACTCCTTTTAGAACGGAGGTTTTCATCTCTTCGCAGTGATCTGTCAAGTCCACTGCTCGCGCAATCATCCCACCCGCCCACCCACACATTGGTTTGCGTAACGCCATGCGATGACGATTGCGATGAGTGCTTGGTGCTGGCTGGTGCATCTCTGCGGCCGCGCTGGCCCGCGCATGCTCGCGCGCGCAGCGGCCAGCTAGCTGGGCGACCGACGCGGCCGCGGTGGCGTTGACCGTTGGGCACTTCCTAGCGGCCATTCCGGTGCGAGCTGACGGCTTGGACTGGTGCGGTATTGTGGTAATGTTGGTAACGGTAGACGCGAGGATGATAGTAGCGATGGTAGTGACGATGCTGATAACGACGACGACGGCAAAGCCCGTGACGGCGCCGATGCTGATCCAGCCGTCGACGATGATGGTGTCCAAGCGTCGCTCATGAAATTTCTACAAGGAATTGTTGTCGCTTCGCGAATCCCCACCAGCCCATCCAGAAACGATGCCCAGAGGAATTGCCTCGATCAGAGAAGTGGGCAGCACACAGAGGAAGCCATTATGAGACATCTTGGGATATCTTGAGCCATCTTGGAGGTCATTTTGGGCTCTCCCAGACGCTCTTGGAGTCATCTTAATCCGTGCCCCCCCCCAAGAGGCCTCCATGTGGCTAAAACCTGTGTAGAATCAATGATTAGGCATTCTCGCCGAGGCCTCTTGGAGCATCTTGGGTGCATCTGGGGGGGCTCTTGGGGCCTCTTGGGGGTCTCTTGGGGGCCTCCGGGGGGCCTCTTGGGGGCCTCTTGGGGCCATTTTGGGGCCATCTTGGGACCTCTTGGGGCTTCCTGGGCGCTTCTTGGGGCCATCTTGGAGGAGATCGATCAAACAAGAGGGGGGGTTCAATTAGCGCCCCCCCTCGGAAGCCCCTAAAATCGCCTCTTGGACCCCTCTTGGAACGCTCTTGGAGTGCTCTTGGGCGCTCTTGGGGCCGTCTTGGGGCTCTTTTGGGGCTCTCTTGGGGCCCTCTTGGGCCATCTTGGAACCATCTCCAGGCCTCGGATGGCCATCGGAAGCGAAAAGGCGAGAAAGCAAAAATCATTGATTTTCCTTAGGTTTTGGGACGATTTTGGCCTCTTCGGGGCCTCCTTGGGGAGCTGTTTGGCCACTTGGAGTTATCTTGGGGCCGTCTTTGGGCTTCTTGGAACCATCTTAGGAGCCATCTCGAGCGATCTTGCGCTATCTTGAGCCATCTTGGAGCTCATCTTGGGTTCTCTGAGGCGCTCTTGGAGCCGTCTTGGGCCATCTGGGACGCTCTAACTACCCGCGGCCCCCCCCGTCCAGGTCCAGGGGAGGGGGTAGGGGGAGGGGTAAACCCCTCCCCAAGGGGGAAGAGGGAGGGGTGGAAGAGGATCTGCTCTAGACCACCTACGCCCAGAGGGCTGGTGGGATTCGACTTGCGCGCGCCGCCGACGCGCGAGAGTGACCCGCTTGGTGTTGTTCGACGCGGGCCGTGGACCCCCCAGCACGCGAGCAAGGGCGTGAGGCGTTCGAATGTTTCCGGCGTGCGGCGCGAGCGGCGCAGTTGTCATAATTGGCTGAACCTGTTTGAGGAGATATGTTTCTTTGTCGAGAATTTACAAAGCGCGATCGTAGGCTTCTTGGAAGCTGGCGTTGCAACATCATATGTTTTAACGTGTTTTCGGGGCACTCGGTTGAGCCATTTTGATGAAATCTCAGTTTTTTTGAAATTGCGGCGTGCGCGCGAAAACGCCCGCGTGCACATCGTCCCGTTCTTTGCAAGGAGATCTTGCGGCAGCACCCGCGCAGGGGCGTTGAAACGATTTCGAGGTTCGCGTTCGACAGGACCGTCCGGTTGAACATTCAATTTTGTTTTTGAAGGTTCGCAGCAGCGCGGGCGCCATTTTTTTTGGGATGGAGTGATAATTCGTGCGGCGAAAGCAGGTGCTTTTTAATCTGATTTCGGGACGCGCATATGCACTTCGTCCCGTTCTTCGCAATGGATAATTGAAAATGGAGGATTTCTGATAAACGAGCGCGCGCGTAGTATTTTCTGCAGAGGATGGTGGTCGGTGCCGATACAGGCCTGCCTGGGATGGTATGAGTTCATATCTCGGATTGGCGATGAGGCAGCAGCGTGTGCAAATTGCAGTACGAAAAAAGGGGAGTCTCTTTTTTTTTGGGAATCTCTTATTATTCTTGTAGCAAAACAGTGCGTGTAGTGCAAGCTCCGTGGTGTAATTCATGATGTGCAAGCTATACTGTGCACCCGATGTGGTTCAAGCTGCGTGGTGCAGCTATAATGTTGCAGTATTTGTGGAGCAATATTTGTGGCGCGATGAGTCTTCACAGACCTGAATCTGTCAACTCCAGCGTTCGCACAAACATCCCACCCGCCCATCCGCAAAGTGGTCTGCAAAACCCATTCGGAGGTGGTTGCGATGGATGCTTGGCGTCTGGTGCATTTTTGCGGCCGCGCCAGCCCGGGCATGCTCGCGCGCGCAGCGGCCAGCTAGCTGGGCGCGACCGCGGTGGTGTTGACCGCTGGGCACTTCCCGGCGGGCATTCCAGTGCGAATCGGTGAGTTGGGCGGGCGCGGTATCATGGCGACGTCGGCAATAGTAGATACGATTCGTGTAGCACCGATAATGGTGACGATGGTGGCGATGACGGCGGCGAGGCCAAAGACTGCGACAATGCTGATCACGCCGATGCCGATGACTCTGTTTCCTTGGGTGATGGAGGTTTGGGAAGGTGGTCGACATGCGCGCGCGCCCGACGCGCGGGAATGGCCCGCATGGGGATATTTGACACGGATTGTGCCCCCCCCCAGCACGCGCGCAAAGGGCGCCCGAATGTTTCCCACGTGCGGCGCGGGGGGCTCGTGTTGTCGACTTCGATGAAACGTTCAAACAATTTGTTGCCGTCTTCAAGAATTCGCAAGGGCGTGCGCGCAAGCATCTTTTGAAAACGGTCTTTGCCAAACCACGTTTTTTTTGGTTTGTCTTTTTCTTGGCTAGGTAGTCTGTATACACTCATTCCCATACATCTATAGTATACTTACATATTTAAGTATAATGCATATGGATGGTTCCGGGGCAACCGATGTAGAAATCATTGCGGGAGCCAGGGTTTTTGACGTCTTGCGGCATGCGCGCGCGACGGCGCGCCCTTGCACTTCGTCCCATTTATCGCACAGCCGTTTTTTGCGACAGCACTCGCGCAAGGGCGTTCTCGGGTGATTTCGACATGCGCGCACGAGAGGCACTCTTGGCAGCATTTGGAGAACTTATGTGGTGCAAGGCGTGTGGTGGCATTTATCCTTTGCAATATTGCGAAGGCATTGCGGCTGGTGCTGCCGACCCTGAGAGACGACGACCACGACGACGGTGTCGGCGGCGACGGCGACGCTCACGTGGGACAGAGTCCCTAGTGATGATTCGCGGGGCCTCTTCGGAACGCGCTCGTAGGCCTTTTTGGGGCAGTATTTGGGGCTCATGGGGGCCTCTTGGGAGCCTGTTGGGCGTCCCTTCGGGCTTCCTTGGGGTGGGGGCCTCTTGGGGGCTTCTTGGGGCTTTGTGGGGGCCTATTGGGGGCCTTGTGGCCGCCTGGGAGCGCTTCCCGGACCGAGGGCTCTCGTGTGGGCACCCCCTTGGAGCTCCTTGGGCCGTCTGGGAGGCCTCTGGGGCCGCCTTGAGGCCCTCTTTGGTCGTTTTGGGTCTGTCTTGGAAACCTCTTGGGGGCCCGTTGTGCCGATCGTGGTGGTATGCTGGGCCGTCTGGGGCGTCGGGAAGCCGAAAATGCGAGAACGCTAGAATCGCGCAAAACCCATGAGACAGTTATCTCATTTTGCTTGCCCATCCGAAAGTGTCTGTTTCTGCAGTCTGTGCTTCCTCTATCTGTCGTCCTCCCTTCTCAACCCTTCAACTCGGGCCGTGCCTGTGTGCATCCCTTTTTGCGGCCTCGGGCGCTCGGGCCGCCCTTGTCCAGCAGCATTTGCCAGGCCAGCGCTTCTGAGGGCGCCAGGAAAGGTGCACCTCGGCCCTGAAGGGGCCCCCGCTGGGACCCGAAAGGGGCACGAAGAGTGCACGCTTCTTCCCCACCCCCACTTACGGTAGGTTCACGCGGCGTTGGCGCGTTGGAGACGCCAGCGAAGGCGTTCCAGGTTGAATCCTGCGACGCGGAAGCACCGATTGGACGGCACCGCCACTGGCCCCCGCGGAATTCGACCTCGAACCATCGGGGGCGCACTCGAATCAAGGTGGAACGATCGCGATGCTGCCAAAAACCTCTGCGCGCGCCGACGCTCGGAGGGCACCAACTATACACCAACACCGATCCTGGCCCAGGATCACCCTGGGCCCAGGATCGGTGTATATGCATTCTTGCGCAAGGCAGGAGGGCGTATACACCGATCCTGGGCCCAGGGTTATCCTGGCCAGGATCGGTGTTGGTGTATAGTTGGTGCCTTCCAAGACGCCGCACGAACCTACCGTATCGCCCCCCATAAGTTCACGCCCGATCCTCCCCGCGGCTGCCCCGTCGGGGGGCCGTCTTCGCCCGGGCCGGCGCGCGCCCGCCCTGCGCAGGGGCGGGCGGCGGCAGGCCTTCTCGCTGTTCGCGTACCTCTGGCTCCTGCTGATAGTCCAGGTGGTCTCTCCTGGTGTCGTCTCGGTCGGACCGGGGGGAATCGATCAAACGACGCGAAGATCGGGACAAACTCGGATCGGGATAACTCGAAATCTCTGAGGATCGGCGGGTTTGGAGGATATATTGGGCGCCGCGGCCGCTCCAGAGCGTTCCGGAACGCTCTGAGAGCGCTCCGGAACGCTCTGGAGCGATTTATCCCGATCCTAGCCCTGTTTCACAGAGGGAATCGAGGGCACTGGGAGCACGAGTGAGGGAGGAGCATTTTGGATGGTGGTGGTGGTGGTGGGGATGATGATGCTGGTGCTGTTGCTGCTGATGACGACATCACGTCCGTAGAGAGCGCGTTGTGCACAGCTCCCGCTCGCGCGGTGGTGACGATGGTGGCGATGATGAGGATGAGGATAACGGTGATGGTGATGGTGGTGGTGATGACGACGATGATGATGATGATGATGATGACGAAGATGGTCGCTATGATGACGATGATGATGATGCTGATGCTGATGGTGATGATGATCATGATGCTTATGATGATGATGATGATGATGATGATGATGATGATGATGATGATGATGATGATGATACTGATGATGATGATGATGATGATGATGATGATGATGATACTGATGATGATGATGATGATGATGATGATGATGATGATGATGATGATGATGATGATGATGATGATAGTGTTGTTGCTGTTGATGTTGGTGATTATGATGATGCTGATGATGATGATGACGATGATGATATTGATTATTTTTATGATTGTGGTGGTGGTGACGATGATTCTAGGGATGATGAGGACCAGGAGAAGGAGGAGGAGGCGGTTGAGGAGGAGGAGGAAGTAATTTGGGGTTGGGCACGGAGGGAACGAGAATGCAGGACATAGGAGGCGCTGCAGGGCATTGAGTAGCGAGTGTGATGAGGACGAGGTGGCAAATGAAGAGGGCGAGGTCAACGAGCAGGAGGGTGATGATAAGAACGTGGCAAGGGAGGATTGGGATGAGGACGACTTGAACGACGACGACTTTGACGATTCTGATGATGATGATGATGAGGATGATGATGATGATGATGATGATGATGATGATGATGGTGATAGTGATGGTAATGATGATACTGATGACACCAATGTTGAGGATGATGATGATGTTCATGATGGGGATGCTGATGCTGCTGATTGTTAGGATGTTGATCAGCATGGTCATCTCGATGATACTGATGACTATGATGAGGCTGTTATGATGGTGATGGTCATGGTAAAGGTGATGATGACAGTGATGAGGATGAAGGTCAGGTTTGCTATGCCGATGTTGATGAGGATGATGGTATGATGTTGATGGGGATGATGATGGGGATGATGGCGATGGTGGTGATGATGATGATGGTGATTCTGTTCATGATGATGATTCAGTTGATGATGGTAATGATGAGTATACTGACTATGATCAGGGCGGCGATGATGATACTGCTTCTGATGGTGTCGATGATTGCGATGCCTATGATGGTTCTATGGTGATGACGACGATGACGACGATGAAACTGATGTTGTTGTTGATGATGATGATGATGATGCTACTGGTGGGGGTGCTGATGCTGATGCTGCTGCTGCTGCTGATGATGATGATGATGATGATGATGATGATGGGGATGGGGACGGCGATGGGAATGATGATTATGCTGATGATGATGTTGATGCTGATGATGCTGATGATGATGATGATGGTGATGGTGATGATGATGTTGTTGCTGTTGTTGATGATGATGGTCATTCCTAATATGATGGTGGTGGTGGTGATGATGATGATGCTGATGCAGAAGAATCATATTGTGGTTTTGATCGAAGACACCTACGGCGAGTCAACGCCGCCCCCCTGCCCTTTCAGAAGCGCCCATCTGGCCGAACGTTGAGGCCAGAGCCCTGCCAAGCTATCGGACCACGTGTTCCCCGACTCGGTCTGGAAAGCCTCCGGGGAACACGCGGGGGAGGACGGGGAAGAGGAGGACAGTGAGGAATGGGCGCATTCGGGGCCCCCTGGGGGCTCTTGTGAGCCTTTGGGGACGTCTTGGGGCCTGCCGGCCGAAGGTTGGGTCAGATCCTTGCCAACCTTTTCAGAACGAGTGTTCCCTGAATCGGTTTGAAAAGCTTTCGGGGGACACGGGGAGGAGGTTGGGGAAGAGGAGGATCGGAAAACTGGAAGTTCCGCGCATCTTGAAGGTCATCTTGGCCGTCTGGAGGCCAATTTGACCCTTTCGGGCCTCCCTGGAGGACGTCTTCGAGGGCTCTTGGGCCGTCTTGGGGGCCTCTTGCGGGCCTTTTGGGCCGTCCTAGGCCGTCTTGAGGCCATCTTCGGCCATCTTAGGTGCATCTTGGGGCCATTTTAGTCGTCTTGGACGCCATCTTGGCCGTCTTGGAGGCATCTTGGAGGCCATCTTGGCCGTCTTGGAGGCCACCTTGGGCATCTTGGCGGCCTCTTGGGCCGTCTTGGGGCCTTCTTGGGGCCCTCTTGGGGGCCTCTTTTGCTGTCATGGGGCCATCGTGGAGGCCTCTTGGGCGCTCTTGGGGCGATGTAGGGGACCTCTTGGGCCGTCTTGGGCCGTCGGAGAGCTGAAAAGAAGAGAATGCGATGATCTTTCAAACACCTAAGGAAACAATGTTTTTGACCTTTTCGAACCTTCCTGGAGTAGTTCTTGGAGGCCTCTTGGGGACCTCTTGGGCAGTCTCAGGCCATCTTAGAGTCGCCTTGGGCCGTCTTGGAGGCTTCTTCGACGAACTTGAAGCATCTTGGACTGTCTGTGCCGTCTTGCAGGACAACTTGGACCATCTTGGGTCATCTTGGAGGCCATCTTGGGCCAACCTGATCATCTTAGAGGCCATCTTGAAGCGTCTTGGATTTTTTTGGTGGACATTGGGGTGGTTTGTGGTGGTTTCTGGACCTTTTGGGACCCCGGCGGGACGGGCCGAAGTTACAGGGAGTTTTTTTGTAATAACCCAAATCGAAAGGGTCTAGCACGTCGGGCAACCTTGTGGCAAGCCAAAAGGGGGCGGCGGATCGAAGACACCTACGGCGAATCACCGCCGCCTCTTGCCTTCGTGGGAGCGCCTATGTAGCCGACAGCTGGGCTAGAGCTTGGCCAAGCTAGCGGATCATGTGTTCCCCGAGTCGGTTTGGAAAGCCTTCGGGGAACACTTGGGGGAGAAAGAGGAAGAGGAGGAGAAGGAGGAAACAGGAGAAGGAGGGAGTAAGCCTCTTCGGAGCCTCTTGAGGCACTCTTGGTCTCGATTGAACCATCTTGGTACCGTCTTGGAGGCCATGTTTGGACTATTTTGGGCTCTCTTAGAGCCTCTTAAGGGCCTCTTGGGGCCCATTGGGGGCTTCTCGGGGGCCTCTTTGGCCGTCTTAGGGCGTTCCTGACCCGTCTGACGCCTTCGGGGGCCGTCTTGGGGGCTTCTCTGAACCGACTTGGGGCCCTCTTGGGGCGCTTCGGGGCCGTCTTGGAGGCCATCTTGGGCGTCTTGGAGGCCTCTTGGGCCGTCTTGGGGCCCTCTTCGGGCCGTCTTGGAGGCCTCTTTGGCCGTCATGGGGCGCTCTTGGAGGCCTCTTGGGCGATCTTGGGGCGATCTTGGGGGCCTCTTGGGATGTCTTCAGCCGTCGGAATGCCGAGGAGAAGCGAATGCCAAAATCCTTCAAACACATAAGGAACATCAATGAGTTTGGCCTCTTCGGGTCCTCCTGGAGGAGCTCTTGGAGCGACTGGGAGGCCTCTTGGGGGCCTCTTGGGCCGTCTTAGGTCATCTTGAGGCTATCTTAGGCCGTCTTGGGTGCATCTTGGGCCGTCTTGCAGGCATATTGGGACCATCTTTAGCCGTCTTGGAAGCCATCTGGGGCCATCTTGGGCCATCTTGGGGCCGTCTGGGGCAGGAAAAGTGTTTGCAACCAGGTCTTCGGGTGGCCGGCGGGACGGGCCGAAGCCACAGGGGGAAATCTTTGGGAAAAGAATCAAGACCAAACCGAATCCGTCTAGCACGCCAGGCGCCCCTTTGATAAATCAACAGGGGGCGGCGGATCGAAGACGCCTACGGCGAATCACCGCCGCCCCCTGCCTTTGTGGAAGCGCCTACGTGGCCGCACGTTGAGGCCAGACCTGCCAAGCTATCGGACCATGTTTTCCCCGAATCGGTTTGGAAAGCCTTCGGGGAACACGTGGGCATCTTGAAGGTCCTCTTGGCCACCTGGAGGCCATTTTGACTCTTTCGGGCCTTCTTGGAGGACGTCTTAGAGGGCTCGTGGGCCGTCTTGGAGGCCATCTTGAGCGTCTTGGAGGCCTCTTGGGCCGTCTTGGGGGCCTCTTGGGGCCGTCTTGGGTGCCTTTTGGGCCGTTCTGGGGCCATCTTGGAGGCCTCTTGGGCGATCCTTGGGCGATCTTTGGGAGCTCTTGGGCCGTATCGGGCCGTCGGAAGGCCGAAACGAAGCAAATGCCAAAATCCTTCACAAACCTTCGGAAAATCACTCAGTTGGGCCTTTTCTGGCCTTCCTGCAGGCCCTCTTGGAGGCCTCTTGGGCCGTCTTGGGCCAGCTGCGAGCCAGCTTCGGCCATCTTGGTGGGCTCCTGGCCCGTCTGACGCCGTCGGAAGCCGTTTCGGGGGACTTTCTGGGCCGACTTGGGGCCCTCTTGGGGTGCTCCAGGGCCGTCTTAGAGGCCATCTTGGGTGTCTTCGAGGCCTCTTGAGCCGTCTTGGCGCTCTCTTGGGGCCGTCTTGGGGGCTCTTGGGCCGTTATGGGGCCATCTTGGAGGCCTCTTGGGCGATCTTGGGGCGACCTTGGCGGCCTCTGGGGCTGTCACGGGCCGTTGGAAAGCCGAAAAGGTGCAAATGCCAATATCCTTCAAGAACGTAATTAAGGAAAATCAGTGATTCTGGCCTCGTCGGGCCTTCCTAGAGGAACTCTTGGAGGCCTCTTGGGCCGTCTTGGAGGCCTCTTGCGGGCCTTTTGGGCTGTCTTAGACCATATTGGGGCCAT